GAAATTAATTAATTATTCGTCATCTTTAAATTAATTACTTATTTATTTGACATTACGCGATAGGCGCATTCGAAAAGAATGTTCATCGCCCCCACAAAATGGCTACTCGTTCAGGATCGAAGAATAACGATTGATAACATCAACATAACTTCCACGTATGATAACTTAAAGATATTTGAAGATCTAGCTGTCTACCCTGATAGTGACGTGGTCCTCGCACAACGGTTCAGTGATGATTTTCTTCAGCTGACGTCAGTGTATCGTCCAAGTCCACAACGAACAATAATATGGGAAAATCGTGGAAACTGGACGGTTAAGAATGGTTTACGAATGAATACTTTCGACGTGGCTTCGGCACGGAGAAGGGATCTTCAGCAGTCGACTCTTAAATCTTGTCTTGTGGTACTTTGAACATGTATTCGTTTACAGTACAAATAAACATATTTATATCAACAATATATATTCAAAGATATTTTACATTTACAAGCATCATAATAAAAAAAGTGTATAACATCAAATATAGCTTATGTTAGATTTATTCAATACTCGTTGCATAGAAATATTTATTCAACTTTGCAGATGACAAATCCTGACACGGTCAATCATTTGACTGATTTTAAGTATAAAACCACAGATTCTGTGACAAAGACAAATTATATGTGGATACACCATTTAATAAACCGGATGAATGCAACGTAAGTTTTATCTTCTAAAATATACCGCGTAAATCCTACCTCCAGGATACCATTAAAATACTAATGAAGTAAATTTGATAATAATAACACTGAGTTTGTCACACAAAAAGCACATACACACAATTATCTTACGAATTTAACAATTTCAAATGTAAGTTTTAAAACGGTAATAAATCTACAACTAAAATATAATAAAATCATTTATTAGTCAAACTGAATAATAATAATTGAATAATTATTATGCTTATGTAATAAATATCATAAACATTTACAAATCATTCTCGTTTAAAATTAAATGTACGGAATGAACCGATTGCATAAGCATATAGTATACGTTTTATTTACAGCAAAAATATAAGCGTAAGAGCTGGCTTTATTGAGCGATAACATCGTCATAATTATTTGAATACCTTTCTTACAAAAATATAATTTTAAAGTATACATGAAATAATTTGTAATCGTGAAAATCGAATAATTCTTTATGTAAAGTAACGAAACTTGACTTCTGAAAATCATTACATTGTAATTTTATCGTTTTTTCATCTTATACAACAGGGTAACTTTCAATATTTCGAACAGCTATGGATACAACAAAAATGGATCTTGGGATGGGATGGTCGGGATGCTGCAGCGACGTGAGATTGATATTGGCACCAGTATATTTATGCTGGCAGAGCGCATTCCTGTAGTGGAATTCATTCAACTTTACACACGTACTAGGTAAAATTGCATCTAAAATCCAACCAGTCGAATTTTAGTTGCTATATTACATTACGACTGCATTATTACAAATAAATAGAGAGACCATACTTTCTGCATCGAAAGTATCGACTTTTGAAATCCTTATGACATCAGATTTATATTTAATAATATTCAAACTAAGGGAAGGGGGGGGGGCAAATACAGGGGCAAATAGTGTTAATTTAAATTTCTCCTCTTTCCCGCGTCTATTTTATTACTATTCGTTAATAAAAGGTAGTTCTCAAGCATCTAATCATCTTCTGCAAATGCAATAAAAATTAAAAGCCAAATATAGCTAGCGGAAAAGTCTACAATTTTGCATTTGTGAAATAAGATAAAACCTAAATCTTTTTTTGGTATTTCAAGTTATATTTTCTTAATTAACCCTTGTTTGACACATTGGGGTGTAACACACCCCAGGCCCACTTAAGTTATGATTTTTTTTTTTAAACTGATCATTTTTTTCGATATTTTAAAAGTACTCAATTTTATTTTTTGTCCATATCACTCATATAACTTTAAAAAGTAAGTTTTTGAGAAGCTATAAAAAAATTTTGAAGTTAAAATATTTAATAGATTATTTGTTATAACAATTTTTGTTGCTGGGGTGCAATCCACCCCAGTGTGTCAAGCACGTCACGCCACAGAAGAGTGGCAAGTAAGGGTTAAATTGTTGAATGAAATCTAATCTATGTCATATCGTCATATGGTACCTTTTTCCTCTATTTTGATATAATTCCTATGCTTGTATATTAATTTTATTTCTCTCAGTAAAGTTTTAAAGGAAAAAGTTAATCCTGAGGCAATGGTAATTATTGCCTAATGGTAATGTTTAGTGGGGTAAATAATGACAAATC